GCTGCTGCTGCTGCTGCTGCTGCTGCTGCTGCTGCTGCTGCTGCTGCTGCTGCTGCTGCTGCTGCTGTGGCGGCCTTCTCCTAGTAGGAGAATTATGTCCTAGGGTAACAGATGGTGCAAACAGGAACCCAGCTAGTGGAATCTGCTTTTGGGTCTAATTACTTATGAATCTGAGAGGGTGTCTTACATTCCCTGATAAGACTAGAAGCAACTGTTGAAAACCCAGGAATGGTAGGAGATACAGATGATTACAAACATCACTCCTGAAAAGCCTGGGTCCCTTTGAAGATTATACTAAATATTAGTGAGGGGCTCCTTATGTGGCCAGTTTAATCCTGTTTTGTAACCCAGGCCTTTTCCCTTTCTTTTTCCGCTTGCCTAATCCACTTTTGTTCATTTCATCTGTCCTTCACAGTGAATCTGCTCTTCCCTATCTTCATCCTGTTCTTTTCTTCTTTTTTGTTTTTTTCTGTTGAAAGAAGAGTGTGTGTGTGTGTGTGTGTGTGTGCGCACGTACGCGCGTGTGTGTGTGTTTCACTTTGTGTTTCTCTATGGGTGATTGGCTTGAATGTGTGGGAGAGAATGGTTGGGATATTCAGAGAGGGATTTGCATATAAATGGGATACCTTATTTTACAGGCAGTTAATTTTAATCAGTTCTTTCATTGTTCTTGTCTCAGACCTCCCTTTTTGAGGGGGGGCGAGATGTGTGTGTGATTGTGTCCATGCACACACAGAGGAACATACAAGTGGTGCATATGTGCACATTTATTGGAGAGGAGGAAGTTGGAGTTAGCCATTTCAGGTTGATATGGTAGGGAAGGTGGGCAGTACATAGGATTTTTGCTTGTGTTTATGCTTTTTTCTGCCTATTTTTTGTGGTTCATCTTTCTTTCAGGTAAATTCTATATGTGCTCTTCTTCTTTGGCTGCTTTTGATGATGTTATTTCTTTTTGGAGTCCTTAATGTATCCTATCGTCTTTCCGAACATGGGCTTTTATATTGCCTTGCAAAATAATAGTTCAATTATTTTGTTCAGCGCTAAATAGCCATTTTTTTCTAATGTGAAATTCTGCAGTATAATAATTTCACATTTATGCTATTTGGCTTTCTATATTGTCAGTTCAGGTCATATCCAAGTGAATCTGATTTCCATATTTCTAGCTCTTAAAAATCTGCATTAGCATGTTAATGTGTCAAATTTGCTAAGATAAATATATAGCTGGTAAGTGAAACTTTAGCAGGGTGTGGATGTATATGCACACACATATATTATCCAAAATAAGTCACTTTCATTGAATCCCACCAACTCTCATGGTGGTTATGGTGATAAAATGAAGGGTGATCCCCATATAAGCTGTCTTGGTTCCTGGAAGGAAGTTGGGAGATAAATAGAAATACATTCATGTTGTGGTATTAGCAAAGGTTGGCCCCCATTCTTCCAGCCTTCTACAAGAGCCTTAAGACTTGGCTCTGCTGACTAGCTTGGGGCTCCAATGGGGGCTCCCAACATTGGGAGTGGCTGGCGCCTTGAGGATGCTCTTTCCATCTTTTAATGTGCTTGTAGTTTTTAAATGTTTTTATGTTTTTCCTTGTGAGCCACCTAGAGTCATTGATAGTGAGATGGGTGGCATATAAATTTGATTTATAAATAACATAAATTTTAAAAAGCAACTTCATCTGCTACTCTTGTGGAGTGAACATATATATTTGGATCAGGTTGTCCTTTAGCACAAATGATTTAAAAAATTATATGGGTGCAGGGGGAGTTGATGTATGCAGCAACACTCTTTTACATGTTTGTTGTATCACATATTCCAATACAAGGACATGCAGTTAGGTGAAGAAACTGTGAAACTATTTTGCATGTGGCCAAAAATTATTTGGGTGTGCGCATAGGAATCTTAGGATGCAATGGAAGAAAATTCATTGATGTATGGCTGTGGTTCTGGCATACATTTTGTTTTCATCTTCTTTTTTAAATTATGTGTGTATTAAATATAAATAAACATGATTGCTTCAGGGAAGGTATGTGACCAGAGTGCCAAATCAAAATGTACTCCAGAAAATGTAAGGCTACATTTTTTGCATTTCTTGAGAGCTTGTGGTGAATGAACAATTTATACCGAAGTGCTTTTTGTTTGCTTTTAGATTCTTAGATGAAAAGTGGTTCAAGATGAAATGTTTTAATTCTTTTTTAGAGAATTAAAAAGATTGTTCCTAGAAAGTCTAAAGAAAACAAAACAAGCTAAGTGTTGAGCGTCATACTGTGTTCTGGAACACTGCTGTTTGATTGTTACCTCACTTGGCTAGGAAAGCAACTTCCTTATTTTAGAAATAAAATATTCCTTTCCTTTGCCACCAGTAACATGCTGTGCTGAGACTTTAGTTTCCATTAACATTTGTTTTATTCTCTTTTTTTTGGTTTGCTTGCTTGTTTCTGGCATCTACCAACATCATAGAAAAGGATGCCATTTCTTCGAGTTCACAATTGTGAAGCTTACATTCAGTTTGGCATTCTTCCATATAATTTCCTCACTGCAATTTTCTCTTTGAAAGGGCTGGTTCTTCCAAAGGTATAAGGGAAAAATGATTGTTTCACTTTTTTGTTTATCTCCACCATTATCATTTTAAATAAGTATATGTAAGAAACTGTTTGAAATTATAAGCCAACAGCCGATTTCCCTGTTCTGTTTTGGCAGTAAGATGCTGACAATTGCATGTGTTCACATATAATTTTTCAGTGCAGCTGGAGGAGAAATCTTTAATCTATGTCTCCCTGACCTAGAAGAAACCATAGATGAAACGGCTATCATTAGGCTTATACGACAAATACTGGAAGGCGTTTTCCATTTGCATCAAAACAATATTGTACATCTAGATTTAAAGGTAATAGTGCATACAATTTCACAACTTTAGAATTTATACTGATCATGAGATTAATAGTAAAGAAGACTGTTCAAGCTTTATCTTTACGGTCTCATTTACTTTAGAATTGGGAGAGGCAATTAAAAAAAAAATTATATTGTTCGCTACCCCAACATTTCTTCCTATTGAACATGTGGGATATTAATATAAAATATTTTTTTAATTTTAAACTCTTTTAACATTTCTAAAAGGCTGAGATTTATCTTTAGGCTTATTATGAAAATAGTCTGTTACTAAGGAGGTGCTTGACAGCCACCTACATTTGGCTGTTACATTGATCAATGCAACAATTACATTGATTCTATTGGGATTATACTAGTATAAGTAGTTTTGTTCATGTTATGATATATAAACTTCTAAATATAATTTAAAACATTAATATAATTTAATTTAGATGTGTATAAATACTTTTTGTTTGTTTATTGTAGCCACAGAATATTTTGTTGAGTAGTATATCTCCCCTTGGTGATATAAAAATAGTTGACTTTGGTTTGTCTCGGAAGATTGGAGGTTATAGTGAAATACGAGAAATTGTTGGAACGCCTGAATATCAAGGTAATTCACACATATTATTTGAATGCATTTCCCCTGATGTTGCACTAGCCAGGCTTTTAGAAGAATGTCAGTTCCTTAGCTGTCAAGACTGACACAAACCTTCCTCTTCAGTTGTTCTTCAAGTGGTCATAAAACATGGCTTTTTTCCAAATGGAAAAAGTATAGCTTCAAAATAAGATGGGGAATTTGTGGCCCTACAGGTACAAAACCAAATTTTTAGGAGAGGGGAACACCCCATAATAAAAGCACAAAATAATAAAAAAATTGTGTGTATAGTGGACCTGGGTTTTGTAATTAATTATGTGTGATTGATGGTTTTACTGCTGTTGCATTGTAAACAGTCTTCAGTCACTTGAAGAAAGGTGGTATATCAGTCTCTTTGTAAACAAAATAAGAGTTCCAATCAGAAATGGGGCATAAAATATAGAAAGATCTACATTATCTAAATTTCACAAAGTATATACAAACTGTTATAAAGAAAATAATCTTCCTGTAACAGGTCATTATAATGTACTTGGAAATGAATGCTTGCTTTCTCCTTTCTACTGCTGTATGAAACGATAACATAATTTATCTCAGATGGCTCATTGGGTGGAGAGGAGGATGCTTTCTGCCAGGATACAGACTTAGTGCTAGTACTAGGCACTTGCCAATGCCTAAGGGAGGCCCTTCAGACTGTTGCTCATGCCCTGGTCACCTCACAACTGGATTATTGCAATGTACTCTATGTGGTGCTGCCCTTGAGGACCACCCAGAAGCTACAGCTGGTTGAAAATGTAGTGGTGCAAGCAGGAATGGGTGCCTGTTAGCATGCCCGTGTGTCACCACTGCTATGCAAGCTGCATTGGTTGCCAGTTGGCTTCCAAGTGCAATTCAAGGTGCTGGTCATTACCTATAAAGCCCCGTGTGGCATAGGGCCTGGATAGATACCCTCCAGTAGAAGTGAGTGTGCTCCAGGTGCACTCTATTAAATGTTGTCATCTGGTGGGACCAAGGTAGCATGCCTTCTCTGTCACGGCCCCCACCCTCTGGAACAGCATCCCCCCAGAGATAAGGATAGCGCCTTCTCTCTTAGGTCCAGAAAGCTCTTAAAGTTCTTCTTTAAGAACGGTCTTAAAACCTGGTTTTGGTCTCAGGCCTGGAGCTAATGTATTGTTGTATTTTGTGGGGCCCTGTTTTGTTTAAATTGTGTCACTTTTAGATCATTTTAGTTTGGGCTGTCTGTGAGGTTTTATGTTTTATCTGTTTTTAAGGATTGTTTTGGTTTTCTGCCCAGAGTCCATCAGAGTTGGGCAGATATAACAAATTTAAATAAATAAATAATGCAGTAGGTGATGTATAGAGATTTATAGTCCATAACCAGCAGTGCTTACACCATAAAAGAAAATGAACAATGCATGCATTAAAAAGGAGTGCCCACAGTTGGAAAAAAAGACTGTTGATAAAAGGAAGAGTGTGCTGGGAAATTACAGCAGTAAAATACACAATGTGATCTTGACAGTTGCATTCTGGATATAACTAGGAGTGTTATCTAAATTAGCAACATCTAGTTCAGATGATGAATCATCATCTTAGTTCTTACAGCCTGAAGGTGAGGGGGAGATCCAGGTCAGTGACCTAATATTCTTATTAGGTTATCTTGCTTCCTTTGAACATTGATCAGGATATATTGCTTTCAATAGTTTCTGCTACTCTAATGCGAATGGGATGCAAACATGATGTGTTTCTTGTAGTTGTTGAATGATGCATTCCAGAAAAAAATATCATTTCCCCCCCATTTCTGGTTTGCACAAATGAAATCAAATCAGCTAAGGCAACATTCCTAGAAATAACTGGGAAAAAGATGGGAATAGTTGGCAAGAGCATGGATATTGAAAGATTTCTGGGTTTACATAGCATACTAAACTAGTTTACAAAGAACAATGGATAAGTTCACAGTAACACACTAAGCCAAAATCAGTTAAACAACATTATGGCTTAGTGTGTTGGGTGAATCAAGCCACTGTGGGCTAAAGGGCCAGTTTATACAGTCACTCTGCTAGATAAATAATCTCTTTGGTGAGATGTGGATCATTCTCAATGTATTGTAAAATAGTGTGGCAGATCAGCAATAATCTTGAACATATGATAAAGTTATTTTAATACTGTATTTAATGGTACTTTTCCCTTCCAGCACCAGAAGTCTTAAATTATGATCCTATTACTACAGCAACAGACATATGGTAAGGTAATTTCTTATGAGATTAAAGCAACTTTAAAAAACTTAATTGTATAGTTTCATCTTAAAAGCCTATTGATTTTCCCATGAAGCCTTTTAAAATCCTTTTTGAATACTTATGGCCTTTGAGAGCAAGTTATGATATTGATGAGCTAGAAAGTGAATTTGGAGCAGACATTTATTTCCTGTGACTCCTTTTTCCAGATGTAAAGCAACATAAAGCAGAGATCATCATATTCTTTTGCTTCAGTATATTTAAGCAGCACCTGTTTGTGATTGATTAAAAAGAGAACTGTCATCTTCGGGTATATAAATTAAAATTTAAGTAAATTAATGTTTCAAATAAAATCTAGAATGGTGGGTCATCTTTGCTTTTTTAACTTTCCCTCAGTGATCAGAAATACCATTTTACTGTTTTATATTTACTTGGATTCTCCATCCAGGGGAATATGAATTTCAGATGAAACAAGCTTATGCTATCGATAAAACTGTACAAAGTATTCTAGCCTGAATCCTCAGTGCTCATCCCTTCCTTCAGCTCCCTGTTAAAACAGGGTAGAGTCCTCAAATCACCAAAAGGTGATCTTATTTTCCTTGGAAGTGTGGCTGGTTTACTGGAGTGGGAATGGGAGTAGGAAGCTTCTGAGAGGCAAGCAACTGTTTTCATCATCCCTATCCAACCCCAAGAAACCCAGTTTGATACTTATTAAATTTAATTTGTTAAATATACTTACAATTTGTGAAATGTATAAAATGTATATACAGTCTAATCTAGAATTCTTGATGCGCATATTGGAAGTCTTGGAAAGCACAAGTGTCCAGACTTGTTCTAGAAATTGCAGTAACCAGGAGTAGGCATGCCATGATCCACATGCAATCTTTCCTTGTCTCATTTGTGTTCCCCTGCATCCCTAGAATTTGGCTGCAAAATGACCAAATTTTGGCAGTATGATTTTGGATTATGTTTGTGTGTGTGTGTGTGTGTGTGTGT